TTTTCACAGCACAATCGAAATCCATGACTTAATAATTCATATCATGAAGTTTATTGAGCATCAGTCCTTTGTAACCTGAATAGTAATCGGTTGTATTGTGATGACAAACATCCTGTCGACAAGCTGTGAATATCCACCGTCAATAAGTATTCTCAGCTCGAGTTACACTCATAAAGCAGCTTGTCGCCTTTGTACCAATTAATAATTCATATTCTAATTATGCTTGCACAAAATTACTCTCGATTCTCTCTCACTTCTTGTATTAAAGCATTTGTATTTCATTATGCATGAAATTCTTGTCTAAATTAATTATTCAATATGGAAATTATTTCTTCATTTTGTTACGCTCCACGATTGGTAAGGTAAATGTTTTCATCTCAACTGGCAGAGAAATTAATATTTTATTTTATGCTATCAGCTTTTATTGTTGAAAGTCTTTTTTAAAAGCACTTTTTACGGGAACATAGCATCGAGATGCTCACTTTGATAGTTTAACTAGATTTGGAAATGTTGCAAATGTTTTTTTGATATTTAAAGTCTTTAGAGACAAAAGATTATAAATGTTATTTTTGATGCGATTCTATCAAATGAAAAGTAAGAATTTTAAAGTTCGTTTTCTCTCAGAAGTTTTTAAAACACTGGCTGAATACTAGGGTGAAGCAGATTGGACAAATTTAAAGCTAAAACTTTGCACTTAAGCATTAGTATCATTCAACATTGAATGCTTTCCTGTTTAAATGCTAGCTATTAATTCCTAGTAGATGTATCCTTGACCTTATTTCAAATAGTTCATCTCCTAGTCACCCCTTATTGCTAAGATTTTTCTTGCACTCCTCTAAGTAGTGTTGGGTCACTGATCTCAACCTTTCAATATCACATCTCTAGTAACCATAATTGTCTTTATGTATAAAATTTATGTTCCTGAGGAAGGTCAATATAATATATATATATGGACGATTTTGGTTACTTTATATATTTAAGTTTTAACTATGATGACATGTGATAACAATGTCGTTTAGCATCTTAAACTGTTTGTAAACCTGAAAAGGAATTACTACAATTAATGAATCCTGAGCGGTGGATAGAACCCACGTCCTATGATTTCCGATCGCATGCTCCTACCACTGAGCTATCGGGGGGTTATGCAAACAATAGCTAAAGGCCATATATAAGTAAAACACTTTTATATCTCTCCTTTTTAAGACTGATGATTTATGTTTTGTAATTGTCTAGGACCATAGCTATTCGAAATAATTTTTTATTGATATTTCTTTACGTAGCCTAAAAAATAAGATTGTGAGCTTTATTTTCAAGATTTATTATTCAAAATAGTAATTTATGAACAATTTCTTACATTGAGTCTCGAACTCATAGATCACACTATCGGCATTGCAATAATTATTCAACAAAGTACTAAGCCATTCAGCCACCTTATTGCTAAATTGAACCATATTCTTTTTGTATGACAATCTAGTCTTTAGGTTTACGACTCATAGCTATAAATAGTTGCTTCTAGTATAGAACTGCGCTCTAACCTGAAAACAATAAGTAGCCAAACTATCACATTGGTTGTGGACAGCTGTTGGATATAGCTGCTGTGAAAAAGTTCATTAAAAAAGAATTATCCACTGGCACTTACTTTTATCGTATCAAGTTTCAAGTAAATAAAGCTCGAGCATGTAAAATATTGATAATAAGTTTTTTCAAAGTTTTTCATGCACGTGAATGTATATTGTGTACACCACACCACAATATTTCACTTACTTATATACAAAATTTATGTGTAAACTAAGTTCACGACTATTAATCTAATTAAATTGCATACCAAGTCGTAGTGTGTAGACTAAAGCGGTCTAGCGGTGACGTTGGAATAAATCAATTTATATACACACACACACGTACCTGTGGTACATTGCCACGAGATTACATGAGTAGAAAGTAATTTTATCACCTGCTACATATCTACCTCGTTCTAGTATTCATTCCATCATTCTATTTTGCAATTCTTTCCTTTTCTTCTTATTGTCACTTCATTAATCTTCGTCACACACAAACTACGACTGTAGCGTCGTCTTTGTCGACGACGACAAGAAAGCTCAATGAGAAAGAAATTTTCATTTACACTTCTTAACTATAGCAACTAATTCATTTCAATGTTAAATTGTTTATTTATAGTTAAAACGAATATTCAAGCTTGAGTTACAATACGACTTCTATGCGATGCTCACACATATGTCTGTATAGTGAATTGTGCAATTAGTCATCCAATTAATTATATACACCACTATCACTATTTTCTTCTTTAGTCATTTCACACTATAACTTCTATCTATCCTTTGCCGTTTACTGTGTTTCTCGCATGTGACGTGCTACAACAAAAAAAAGTTTTTTATGCAGAAGATGAATAGACTTTTAGTATTTTTGGGTTATTACTCACAAGGCATTTGAAAAAGTAGGAGATAGACTTTTGACTTTGGGTTAAGGATGGCTAAAAAGCTTTTTTTTTTTGGTTGTTTGGAGTTTGGTATGGATGGTTTGGATATATGACTGCTATCCCTTGGTCAGTGGATTTAAAACAAGTCCATACCTCTTAATAATCTATAATATTAGGGGTTTATCAAAGTAACCCCTGATTCATCCCTGATTAAACCAGATTAAACCTCCTTTTTGGTCTGAAAAGCTTTTAATGACAAAGATCCAAACTGGTAGACAAGAACATACCAGAGCAAAATTACAGCTTTGGATTAGCAACTGTTAATAATGGGATCCTAATTTTTAATAATTTTATAGTATTCAGTCATAAAAAGCAATCCCTAACCTCAAAAGAATCCTAATTCAACCAGAAAAAAAACTGCCTTTAAGCTTTCACCTCCTCCGCTATAATTAAAAGCTAAAAAAAGACAGGAGACAGAGATGGGAATAAATACAGCAAAATGCGACATCATGGTGCTTAAAACTTGCATCGTCATCTATAAATTTGCGCAAAATTCATTTTCTCATTGTTCATTTCGAGAAAAAAAGGAACGAAAATACAGAAAACATTTAGTCATTCTGTCGGTTGCGCTTAATAAAACAATTGAATTTCAATTTATTCTTTTTTGGATTTTCACTTTTTTTTTAAAAATATAAAAATCATTTCTATGTGAGTTTTGAAAGGGAATCAATTCAAATGTAAGGTTTGAAATAAAACGGAAAGCAACAGTGAAATAAATTGAAATAAAACATACAGTAAGAGGATAAATATTCATGCATATATGTGGAACATAAGTGAAGGGCACAAAAGGCACGTTGAGTGAAACTTGTGACGCGACGATTGAAAATTGGTTTGAAATTGAAAAAGTTTTTCTATTTTGAAGTGAAGTCGTAGGTTGTGGTTAAGTCTACTGCATATATACAGTAAAAAAAAGTTTTAAATATGCAGATGAAGTGAATGGAAAATTGAAGAACTAGGAAGGACAGTAGAACGCATTTTATGGGACTTCTTGGTTCATAAATTTCAAATGAGATTTTTTTATAGAGACATTGAAGTGGTTGAAGAAGCCTTGTTTGATTATACTTGTGGTGGGTGTTGTTGTTGTTAAGAGCGCAGTGCTGAATTGCTTTAAAGCTCTAAATTAGGAATCATTAAGCTGAATTGAGCTGAAAAAAGCTGAATTAAGATGAATTAAGTTCAATTTAGCTGAATTCACCTAAAAGAAGCTGAATTAAGCTAAATTGAGTTCAATTTTGCTAAATTGAGCTGAAGGAAGTTGAATTAGGCGGAATTGAGTTCAATTGAGCTTACTCGAGTTTAATTGAGCTTAAGCGAGCTTAACTAAGCTAAATTGAGTTGAATCAAGCTGAATTGAGCAAAGTTCAGCTTTATTGATTTTAAAACTGCGGAATTTAGCTTAATTAAGCATAAAAATACTGAATTAAGCTTTATTGTACTTAAAAGTTCTTGAATTCAGCAATAACGAGCTATAAAGTGCTGAATTCAGCTTAAGTGATCTTCAAAATGCTGAATTCAGCCTTAGTGATCTTTAAAGTGCTGATTTCAGCCTCAATAAGCTTTAAAGTGCTGAATTCAGCTTCATTAATCTTTAAAGTGCTGAATAATCTTTACTTCCAAAGTGCTATGCGCCTTACCACCAGAAAAAAATGTTTTCTAAAAAAGAATCAGCACCGAATGCTCCAAGATTTGTAGGTGATAAACAAGAAAAACTTTCAAACAAGCCTCAAAGCTTTATATAGTCAAGCAAACTATGAATGATCTCAACATCAGCCTTATTACTTATTATTATTTAAATTAAATGTTGACTAGCGAAGCCGGACTTAATCACAAAATCAATAAAGTACTTGTTTGTTTGAGCGACATTCTGCTCACCTACCTGCGACTGAATTGAGTATCTCCGTCGCCTGAAACGACAACACTCAACTTCGCTTTCAATATTTTTATATATTTTTTATAAGTTTTCTTCTTTATACCGCTGACTCACTCACTCAGCCTTCATTAAATATTTTATTATGATTACAGTTGAATTAATTTGCATAGCAATTTGCTGCTGCTGCCTTTTTTTCATTCCCTACACTTTGCGGATTATTGAGCGTAGCTCAATTTTCAAAAAAAAAGAACTTAGATGCGAGAAAAATTTTCTCATTAATGTGAATCTCATCATCTATGGCGGCAGTAGCATAGCAAAGCAGCAAAAATTTTATCCATTAATTTCCGATTAACTATGACTTCCTTTTCGATGAAGAAAAAAAATAAGAATTTTCAATCTGTGCCTATCTAATACCGAACATCTATCTCTCATATATTCATATATATATACATGAGCTTATACCTATCTCATATAGATATACTTAAATTGAACTGATGTGCTTTGTGGATTTTTAAGTAGAACGAACAAGGGAGAAGAGACATATACATACACATAGTGAGAAGAAGATACAAAAAAAAAATTGTCACAGCTCTGATAGAAAGCTTCGATATATCGAAAGAAATAAAATAGATCGAAATGGGATTGAAATCGAAAAATAAACATTCGAGGTAAGAGTGAGAGTCATTGATTGTCGATTGTAATCTGTCGATTGTGTTCGTTGTGCCATTTACCATCATCAATTTTTTCTACATATACCATTTTTTATGCAGAGACGGGGGGAAAAAAATTATTTTTTATGACTTTTCGTGTTGAATTTAAATTTTTAAGAGGCGCATTTTAGTAGAACCTATGGTTGGGTTGGATGTAGAGTGGAGATTATAATTTGATTCATTCTGAAAAACTTGGAAAGTGCTGTTTTCATGTTTATTGAATTAAATCGAAAGACTTAAGTCAAATTCAAGCTCTGAATATTTTTTTCTTCAAAACCCTCCCCAAAATCGTCCTCTAATCTGATTAAAACCAATGCATAACTTAACTTGAAGATATTTGAGTTTGAATTACAATCTCAATGTTTCTTCCAACATTTACTCGAACTAATATCAAAATTTCGTTCAGGGGTTCATTTATGGCGTACAAAATTAACGGTCATTTTACAAAAAACAATTCATTTCCATGAATTTCTAATGTTCTTTTCTTGCTGACCCCCCCCCCCACCCTTCTGGACATCATAAGTGAACGGCCCCTTTTGCATTAGCCACGGATTAACAAAAAAACTACATTCCACAGTTTAAAGTTTAACTTTGAATATTAAAAAGTTATTAACTTCCTTGGAACTTTTGAAAGTAGAGCAATTTTACAATTCAAAATGTTTAAAAACAAAAAACACGTGAATATTCCTCTTGAATTTAATTTGTTGAATGTTGGATGTCAAGTTTGATAACTCTTTGCATAATTAATTAGTAGCATAGACTCTGAATTGAGCTTTAAATAAATAATTTTATGTTTCAACAATTTATTCAAAAACACGTGGAAGATTTTAGCGTCAATTGAAGCAAAAATAGCACAAAGCACATTTAAATTTGATTTATCCATTAAACTATTCGCTTCAACTGACACAAAATTGAAGCAAACTCATTTAAATATTATTTAACCGTTAAATCATTAAAACTTACAAAAATGGTCAAAAAATGATTCAACAACAAAAACAGCCCGATTCATTTATCTCAAAACAATTTTCTGTCTCAAAGCTGCAACACGTCGATGAATAAGAGAATCTAATTTTATTTCTATTTTGTCTGCGAAAAATATTCATTTTTGTTTAACATCAGCTGTTTAAAAATATTTTTTATGAGTCTAGAAGCAAGTGAGTCAGAAAATAATTGTTCAAAAATAAAGAAAATTCGTAATAGTCAAATTTAGACAAGATGACACAGCAACAACAAAACCGAAACAGTCATTAAAATTTCAGCATCAGAAAATTGACACACTCCACTTTATTTCATGTTATGTGTATAGATGTTGCATAGATCAATAAGTATATTGAAAGAGAAATGATTTTAAAATGGGTGAAAAAATGTTTTCGTATGCAAAATTTAACATTTCCATTTCCAATTTGATATTAGACGTGACGAATGATCGTAGCGCTGTCACATTCCATGTTCCTTTAAAAGCAAGAATCTCAAAGAGTTAAATTTTGTTTCCTTAAGGCAAATTGCTGTTATGTGCTTGCTATGAGCATTCACTCATCATTTAAAGTTTCCTGGAAGAAATGAGATGTGAATTGTGGCAAGAATGTGTGAATCGTAAGGATTTGAATGTGAATAGCATGGAGCATTTATGAGTTTTATTGTTATGCTGTTTGGTTCACAAAATTTTGATTCAAAAATTCGAATGCTTTCAATTGATTTCTTAGGAAATATTCATGGATTGAATCTGAGGATTTGAAGAAATTGGGTCGTAAATGACTGCTTTCATATGAAATTTGAGTTTATATAGGTGCTATATTGGTGTGCCTTAAGTTTGCAGGCTTTTTGTCTCTTAGTCTTACACAGAATAAGCTTATCTCCTTTATACAGTTATAACTTACTTTAATTGACCCACTAAAAGCTATATTCGACCCTTAAAAGCTTTGATCGACCCTTGGGAGATTTAGCCGAGCGTTAAGGACTTTATTCGACCATTGAGAGCATTAATCGACTTTTCAGAGCTTTAATTAATGCTAAAGATACCCAGGTGACCTTGTAAACTCTAAATCTACTCAAGAAAATGTCAAGAGACCTTTAACTGTTTACCATGACTTTTAAGAGTCTAAATTGACTTTACAATTGCTTTAGTGAGTCTAAACTTGCTATAAGAAGCTTGTTTAGACTCTTAAAACTATCAGTTTAGCGTGAAGAGCCTCAATTGATCTTAAAGCATGAAAAAATGACAAGATTTAGTCAAAAATTCACGAAAATTGAACATAAAACGTCAATAATCTTAAAATTTCAAAAAAAACACCATCAACTGCCAATAAAAAATATAAAATCCCAAAAGATCTAGCCCCTAAAGATAACCAAACCTCATAATACAGTCATAAAATCCATTATGTAAACACACAAACATTTGAATGACATTTAAGCATCATTTTGAACTAAAAAACTACTTAAAGTTCCTTCCTTTATCATCTTAATTTAAATTTCAAATCATATCGATCGCTTTGCCATGCAATTTACTTCCACTATGAATATTTTAGATGCCACAATCTTCTTGGAATTGAACAAGATTGACAAAAATTAAAACATTTGAATGCTCATTTCCATAATCATAAATTGTATTTTTGGTAATGCTCTGCAATTTCCTTATCAATTTGCTTTTTGTATATTTTAGTCATTGATGATAATTCAGGAGTTGAGTGAATGGGAAGATTTGAGAGTTACGTAGCCTGTCTGTCTGGGAATTTTTGTCCTCTTTCTGAACAACTTGGTTTGGAAGGTTTAATATTGAGTTATTCTCAAAGTTTGGATGAACAAAGAAGCTCAGATCCCTGCTTCGCTGTAACTTGCACGTAATAAGTGCAGGAACAAATCATAAATGACGTCCAAATAGATTGCAAAAAGTTTGCGCCTCTTTCTTAGGATTTTCAATTTACCTGACGATCAGAGCCAATACCTAGGTTGCATCCTTCCATGATTCACCATAAAAGTGTTCTCAAACTAGAAATTGTGGACGACGTAATTTATAAACAACCCCTGACATTTCCCCTGATAAATATGCAAAAATATTCTGCGTATATCCGTAAATAAATGTTGTCTTGTCATCAGAAACAAATTTATTGATTTTATGTTATTTTGTGTGGAATTGACAGGATAAGGGTTGGAGGTGTCAATTTTTTTACATTCTGCTGAAACTTACAATTCACTTAATTTTATTTCGTATTTAGAAAATTTTTGGATGAAAACTAATTAAAATTGTATTTGTATTGAAAGATTTAAAATAATTATAAAATGAAAAGTGGGGGAAGGGGAAGTTCGTAAATGACGTCGATAAATGAAATGAATTGAATATTGAATATTGTTGTTCTACCGCTGTGTCTAGCTCGTTATACAATCACAGTTATGAATTTTGAAAGAATTTAGATAATTATTTGGTATGAAGGAGGAAGGGGGGGGGGGGAAGGGGGCATCAAAGCTTTTAATACTTAGGTTAATACTTTCAATCATTTCTTTTTCTAACAGTTTCAAAATGAACAAAAAAGACTGAACACTCTTAAACCCACTTTGGTTCCATCCATGATCCTTAAATGTCAACTATGCCACAAACTAACCCAAATGGCACAAATCGGTTTTTCGATTAGCAATCTGGCATCAACCGGTATGTCTCTGGCATGGTGCTAGAATTAAATCGGAGCCAACATCATGCCAGCATCATGCTAGAGTCATACCATTATTAACCGACTTAAGCTATTCGGGTAACATCATTGATGAACAACCCCATTCCTCAAGCACGAGGAACATGAAGTATTCTCAGAAGTGTAAATAAATAAATAATTAGTTTCAAAATGCTGATTTTGTAAGAAAATTTCGAAGCGTTAGTTAAGTAATTCATTATGATAACATGAATAAAATTAAATTAAAACCCATCGATTGAGATTTAAGATGAATTTAATTTAACAGAAGAGCTTAATTGAATCTTGTGGCTTACACCATGTTTCATTCAATCTACATGATAAAGTTTGATATAATTAAATTTCTTATTGAATTCATTTTTAGTCTATAAATAAGATAATTCAGTAGGTTGATGTTTTTTTTTTGAAAATATATGGATTAGGGTCGTTTTTAAAGAGAAGGGGCTGGGGATCAATTTTGAACATTTCATTTTTGAAAGTAAAGCTCCCCTCCGGCCATATAATTCTTTTCTGTCAATGCAAAAACAAATCGTCAACACAGAATCCCAATCAGCCCACATTGACATGTTTGCCATCCGGCAGCTGGGCTGATAGTATAATTAAAACCAAGCGGAAGTAACTTCCAAATGAATGCAAAGTGCTTACCACGTGGATGCCATTGCCAATTGGCTGTCGCTTGGTTCTAATTATACTATCAACCCGGCTACCGTGACGAACATTTCCATGAGTTTCAATGTGTGCCGATCGGGAATATATCATCCAGCTACAAAGAAATTGCATCTCCAGTAAATTTAAGCTCTTAACTAGACTAAGAGCCATAGACACGTTTGTAATAAAAATGTAGGAAAATTAATTCATTGGATGAAGGCACAACTTTAAAGCCTCTCTGTCTCTTTACTTTGGTCTCTTAAAAAAATACAAATTACATGATGCAGATCCTTAAACCCGTTCAAACATCTTCTTAATTCATCCATGCGATAACATGTAAAATAATTTCCATCCACTTTATTTTTTCCCATATTTATTGCATCAATAATTTCATAAAATTTTTGCATTTTCATTGTAGAATCAACTTCGATGATCCTTCAACAACAAGACCTGGAAGCTTGGCAAAATCTGCTGTTTTAGCGGCATTGGAAGAAGATGAACGTAATAAGGCCGGATCCAAACCAGGTGAGTTATGGAACTATTGATGATATTTAGTGCTTATGAAATAATTCAACCTGAAATCTTAATGACTTGCTATAGCTTACATTCAACTTTGCTTACGTAGATCACAGCTTATGCATGCTTGAAAAATAAGAAAATTATATTTATTTTATTTAAGTTCAATCGAGTGTGGTACAGCATATAACTGAAGTATGCAATCTATGACGATATAAATAAATTTCTCATTTTTTATTGCAATCCACTCGTATGTACACACGAGAGTTGATGTATCGGCTCAATAAAACCATATTTTACTATTTTTTATTATTTTTTTTTGCTCCCTCCTATTTGCATAATCAATTCAATTTTTATGCCTGCTTTTGTTTCTCGTTTGTATTTTGCGGAAGTCTACTCCATATATGCAATAATCTTCTATCCACACTCGATTCTATTTTCAATTTATCAACAACAACAATAAAAAAATATTAGAAAAATAAAAATAAAATTTAAAAAATCACCAGAAATTGTGAAATATTTTGTGGCTGAAACATATGCATACAAAAACATAAATTGTACTAGATCGAATGTTTAGTCAGAGCTAACTTTAACTGCACACAATTCGCCGTCATAATAAATCAACGAGTGGAGTTTAAAAAGTTTAGTAATTTGATATTCTGTGCTGTTTAAGCGCATAGAAAATTCGTAAATTTATTTAAGCTGTTTAGAATGGCGACTTGCTATGGACATTGATATTGATAGTCTTGTTATTGTGTGATTTTTAAATGGGAATTATGTTGAATGCTTTAAAGGGGCCGTTCACTTATGACGTCCAGGGGGGGGGGGGGGGGGTCAGCAAGAAAACAACAATAGAAATTCCTGGAAATCTATTGTTCTTTTTTGGAAAATGATCGTTAATTTCGGACTTCATAAGTGAACGGCCCCAAAGAGGAAATGGGAAGTTGCATGATATTGTTGCTTATGCTTACTGAGAAGGTTGAGGTGTGACACTTATTATTAGGCACTAAGAGTATTATTCTAGATAAGAGACCTGCTTTCTAACTGATGAGTTTTTCAATTTTAACCATGCTGTGTAGGTCCAATGTAGCTTAATGTTTAAGACTGCAGGACTAATCATCCATACATGTTTATTTAGATATCTAAACCACATTGACTGATAACTTGCCACAGTTTTGCTCTGTCTCTCCGATCGGACTCTGATATAGCTTGATAGTAGCCATGTACTTGCTATTCGAAGTCAAATCAGCAACTTAGCATTTATACCTTCGACCTCAAGAATGTTAAACCAATAAATCAAGTGCAGTTTATTTTTTAAAACAATTTTTGAACATTGTAAAAAGATCTGTATTCATGATGAGCCCTTTTCTCTGAGGTCTGAACAGCGTTTGGTTAAACGATACATTTATAGCCTGCTGCTATACATTTAACCTTTTTTTAAACCATTCGATAATGAAGACATGCTCTTGACATGCTGATGTATATGTAGCTATGCCAATGCACCCTCCAAACAGATTCAGATGATATTTGATGAATCTATCAACTTGCAAATCAAGTCTTAACCCAATACCACGATATTTAGACAAACTTACTTCATATCAGATTTCCGTAAATTCCTTAACTTTGTCCTGTGAAATTCCAGCACGAAACATCAATTCACAAGTGAACGTAAAAGTATCAAATTTCAAAAATACAATCACCCCCTTGCGTCGGTTCCCTATATACAAAAAGCATACATAAAATTTCATGCTTAAACATTTTCCAAACACACAACGAACAAAATGCAAAAAAAAAGACATAAAAATAGGGGAGAGGAAAATGCCGCATGGAGAACTTGAATGTGCAATGTTTTGACGATAAATAATGCACATTTTTCCACTTTATTGAATTTTCACAGCTAGTTATTTGGTACCATGGAATTATTTAATATTTGATAAGTGGTTGGGCGTATATCCATAGTATGCGGTTATATGCTATGCTTTTATTTATGTTTGGACGGATTCTGTTTGTTTGGCTAAAATGAGGCGCCAGATGAAAGTTTCCTCTCTTTTTTTTCAAAACTGATCAATCGGATGTGCTTGAATGTTGCTCACGAATTGCATACCTTAAGGGTAATGATACAAGTCAATGATTTGGTACACTTAATTCACATCATGTTGATCTTTTGACTTTGAACATCAAATTTGCATATTTGTGACTGTAAGCGATACACATGGTAGATTCATGTAAACAGTACAGCACCATGAACGAAGAATTTTCTAGATGAAAATTTTTTTTCTGTCTGTTTTTGTTGAATTTTCCGATTTTAGAGAAACATTGGCGAAGTGAGGGCGTTTTGGAATTTCATGCATATTTAAAAGTTGCATCTGCTGTAGTGGCATTTTGGCTATACTTTTTAGGTTTTAGGGATCTACTTTTGGAAATTTTTGGCTTCCTTTTGTTAGATTTTGGGGTGCTTGTAGTGCTTGGCTTCGATTTCAAGTGGTTATTGCCAAAGACATAGCTTTTGGAGGTTTTGGGGTGCTTGTAGTGCTTGGCTACGATTTCAAGTGGTTATTGCCAAAGAAATAGCTAGAAAAAATATACTCAAGTGTTTCCAATTGTCCAAAAATCTTTGTTTGGAGTGGGTCTAGATCCTTTAGACCAGTGTTGTCCAAACTATGTGCCGCGGCACGCTAGTGTGCCGTAGAAATTATTTGAAAATGACACAAATCGCATGTTCTATTCGATTTTGGTCAAAGCTTACCGGTAAGGTGTGCTGTGACTCAAATAGTTTGGACAGCACTGCCTTAGACCCTCACTAGCTAGTCTAATGTTCACCCCCAATACTACATTACTGCAAACCTAGGATGTATAAACGAGCATTAAGAGAGGAAAGTCGCACACACATTTCAGCAATGATGATGATGATGATGATGCACTTATTATGTTAATGAACAACAACAAAAAATCATTTTTGTTCACAAGTGCATTAAAATTTATTCAGAAAAAAAAATTAATATATTCATACATGAAATTAAATTAGTTTCCGTTAAAAAACATATAAATTTTCGTGCATCCGAATTTTTATGTGAATGAAGGATCTATTAAATTTAATAAATATATCCTCGTCAGGGGTGTCGAACAGAATTTTTTAAGGGGTTTATTGAACAATTTAGAGATCATCTTCTCAAAAAACTTTACCACAATCGCTATTTAAGGTTAGGGGTTTGACCTCAACTCCCTCTGTCTACACTCCTGATCCTAGTCAAGGGAGGATGAGTGAGATTAATTTAATTATGTGCGGAAATATATAAAAAAATGTGGCGAATTTTATTCGAATGGAATTTACATAAACAATTTTTTTTTGTTCTTCCTTTGACCAGAGGAAACTTTTTAATTCAGACTATTTTCATAGCAGATGAGTTATTTTAATTTTCGTGCATTATCCTGATAACAAAATTGTTGTCTGTATTTTATTTTAATTTCGCTGATCAAATTGGAGATGAATTCTTTATGAAAAAGATATCGAGAATTCATTTCAACATATTTATTTTTGATTGTGAAATTAATGCAGTTTTCGTTTAAGCTTTTGAGTTCAATGGAAGTAGATGAGATTCTATAGAATTGGAGGATTTAATCCACAATTTTCTCAACGAACTTCATTTATGGGAACTTAATGGGATCATTTATTTATGTATCTATTAAAACATGGTATTTTTCAGATATGCTTCTGGTTTCTAGGGCAACATGGAGTACACCGGGCCCAGCTCTATCCCCTTCCATTGTCTAAAGCAGTGTTGTCCAAACTTTCTTCAGCCACGGCACACTTTGACTTAAGATGATTTTTCACTGCACTCCTAAGGATGCCCTACAGAACACCCAGTGTGCCACGGCACACAGTTTGGTCAACACTGGTCTGGGATTTGCGTTGAAACTGAATCATTGAATTTTTATGAATATTTCTATTGATACCAATTGATACTTACCCTTTAATCGTCTAGTGCAGTGTTCTTTAACTTTTTAGATCCACGGCACATTTTTTTAACTTGAAAATTTTTATACATTTTTTTCCCTTTTTTGAAGTCATTAAACATGGAATTGTTTCACGGAACACAAGTGTGTCGCGTCACACAATTTGAGAACCACTGGTCTAGTGTGTCATCAACAGAATAAGATTGAGGGACGCTTCACTAGTGTACTTTGGACCATTTATGGTGTCAAAACCTCTAATCACATTCCTTTCCTCATTTCTAAACACACCCTAGCCATCTGACAGCCCCCAACGAATCCAATTTTCTCACATCACGCTTGCATTAATTTTTTCACATAAATCAAATGAAAAGAAAAATTTAATTAAACATAAAAATTTTAACAAGAGCTCAAACTTATCGATTTCCGAAAACATCATGCTCATATTTTGACTTATTATTCTCCCCTGCAAAACCATGATGATAATAAAAGGAATTTTTTTATATGTTTCCTCTCAGCTATCAAATATATTCACATAAATCTCTGATATAAAAATTGAGTCGCGGATAAATTTACGAGTTTTCTTTTTTTTCTCGCGCGCTTAAAAAAAACAAAAGCGAAGATGAAAAAAAGAATCAAAAATTTATTCACACAACAGTGAGTTGAAAAAAAAATTATCGTCGAGAAAATGGAATACATACAAGCTGATTGATGCATAAAGCAAAACGATTTTTTATCATTTTTTATTTATGTACTGTGCGATGAAATAAAAAAAAAGTTTTTGCTTAAAGAGAAGCTCCAAAAGACTTTAAACTCAAAAGTTTGTTTAAATGCGCATTCATTCGGATTGAAAATTGAAATTTGTAGTGCCTCATTCACAAAAAAAAAAAAATATTTTAGAAATGCTCGTTTGAGTTTGCATGCATGCATGTATATGGAAATGATCACTTGATTTGAACAGCATTTTTCAGCACTTTGTGTCTCTTGAAAGGATTCAAAAAAAAAGTTTATGAAAATAACAATAAAATTTTAAAATATTAGAATTATTGGAATTAACGAACCATAAAAATTGGAGCATATTTCATAATTTATTCTGCCAAATTCAAATGTTTTACAATATTTTTGATTTTTTTTCTGAGTATCATCAATAATGCAATTTAGAATTCACCAATTTTAATTTATTCCAGCTTGAATATTTTTTAAAAAAATCCAAAAAGGGGTCGTTCATAAATTACGTCCTTCAGAAAACATAATTTTTAGACCCCCTTCCACCCGCCTGTCACACAAAATTTCTAGAGGAAAGTTTTGAAAATCCTAGAACCCCCCCCCCCCCCCTTTCCCTCCCCTAAATGGTTCACATCATAAGTGCCCTAAGTATAGACTTCCATGCTTGTTCAATTTAAATAATATATTGCGTCAGCGTAGCCAAAACATCTCCCGAACCTGCAACTAAATTGTTACTTTGACCACATGATCCACATTCACGAAAAATTCAAAAATTCCGAATCTCTGCTTTCGCATGCCTCTTTATCTTCAAAATTAGATCAATTTAATGCCAAACTTCTCTCACAAAAAAACTGCCCATGTAAACAAGATTGTCAGTTTTGATCTGATAAAAAGAAACTTTTTCTCGAGAGTGTGATCATGAATAATTGTAGGCAAGACAAAAATTGTCGAGAATCGAGAGCATATTAGATATTCACATGATGATAAAAGTGTTCAAAGAAAAATCGAAAGTTTTTACATAAGCTAGGCAATGAATCAATTGATTGTTAAGTTTTCCAACTCCAATCAATCTTTTTTTTTGGAACAGAGAGTGAGTGTTTGGCAGGAGCAATGGACGGAAGTGATGACTAGAAGTTGAAGGACAGGCTTTTGTGCTTTTATGAATAATAAGGCTTTTCCTGATGTTTCTTATCAAGTTTAAATGGATTGAAACAGGGGCGTAGCCAAAAATTTTTAAGGGGGGGGGGTCCCATTTTCGAAAATTAAAAAAACCGTTATTTTGTATCCTTAAATCTTTATTCATTGTTCATAAGTTTAAGTATTTAATTCATTATTCATACATTAAATTTAATTTTTCGTGCTGATTTTGACATTTCTTTCATCACTTCCTCTACATTAACTGGTTCTTCTCTATAAATAAACTTAATAAAACAATTATCAGATTTAGGGGGCCCGGACCCCCTATGCCCCCCCCTCCCCCCCCGCTGAAGAAATTTGTATGAAAAATAAATCCAGACCCTTAAAGGGGGATCAATGGAGTCAGACTAACTTCTCAAAAAAATTTAAGCTTCTTATGATTAAGGATCCGTTCACTTATACGTCACATCCAAGAAACTAGACTTTTCTCAGCCCTTTCAACAAAATTTCTTTTGCTTGAAACGTAACAAAATCTTAGACCCTCTCCTCCCACAAAAAGCGTTACGCAATATGTGAATGGACCCTAAGATATCCACTACAAAACTCTATACACGATAGCATATAAAGTATCAAGGTAATCAATAGGTATCAATTGATTTTTAAAACACAGCAAACTCCATAAACTTGTTAAATATTTTTTAAGTGTAAAGCTTTATAAAACTTTCCCATTTTTAATAACAGTTGGAAGTGCGAACTGATTGGACGTCAATTTACTTGAACAACCTTACAATCCAGCAACGATACAGAAGAAAAGAACATAAATATTGCTGTCGTAATAATAATAGTAAAATATTATTTTATGTTCCTTTTTTCAACTTTGAAAGTCAAATAAAAGCTAGTATAGATGTGATTTTGGTGACTAGCTTTTAAGCGCATTTATTTTTTTAAGGAAGAAATCCGCTGTCAAATTTAAATAAAGCCTCTCTGTCCTGGCTCTGCCCGTGAGTCTCAAACTAATTCGAATACGAACTCAAATAAGAACCACGCAGGTCCGACACTTGATTCACGTCTGCTATTGCTAAATTAATTAAGTTCAATTACCGTCGATCCTAATTGACAGATTTCTAGTCTTGCTTGAGTCATTTCAGTTTAGTCAGAGAGCCAGACTTTAAAGTATTTCACTTTCCTATCAAAAAAGCTGTTAAAAAGTATGCAAAACCTACACACAGCTTTACACAATTGCCAAGTGAATGAGTGTAGCATGAGGATACAATAATAATTTCCACTCTATTCATACCTTTTTTTTATTTACAGTTAGTAAAGTTTATGAATAAAATGACTTAAAGACATGAAGCAATAAGTAAAACGAGAAGAAAGAAAAGTTTAATTTATGTTTCATTAATGGAAATAACTATTGCTATATACTCAACGCCATAAAACAATAAAAATAAACAGTAAATGAATGAATGCAGGAGAAGCATAAGGACCATAAATAATTTCTCTTGTTTTCTCACTATGCTACATGGGGATGTATGTTTATGTCCATGTTATATTAAAAGCATAAAGGCAAATAAAAAGTTCTTGAAAAGGAGCAACTTTAAAGCCAAAGGCATGATGATATTAAGCATGGAGCAACAATAGCAAGTATTCACTTTCCATTCCTATCATTATAAATTTTCATGTGCTGCACATGCATGTATAGATATTATAGATAGATGTTACATACGGCACGTTCAGCTATTCATGGCTTTAACTAGCTTGTACGAAATGTAATAGCATTAAAAGGTGTTTAACTATATTTATATACCAGGTCCATTAAACATGTATTATAGATGCTATAATAGAATATGGCTGCAGTAGACAGACACAAGTCACGGTATGAAGAGATGGTGTAGGAACAAAAATAATAAGAATTTTTATAATAATTTTGAACACATGTGCTCATGTGGATGTATGAATAATTTTTTTAGCGTTATTTTGTGGAACTGATATTGTGTTGGATTTAATTTTGCTGACTGTACATAATTTGGAAATGATATGACAATTGTTATTGGGTTTTTTGAGGAATTTCAGGTTATTTTGACAAATTGAGATGAAATAAGGTTTAATGATGCTGCTGCTACTAGTAATCTTGGGTTTGAAATCTAGCAGAGCAACTTTATAGTTTGTAGGAACCAGGAATAAACATATTTGCATTTTATTCAAGGCAAACGGTTTCTTGAAGTTAAAGGTTTAGCTACTTTTTTGATTTAAGTCGTGGATGAAGCTAATGGAGGGCATATAGGGGTCCAGAACATATTATAGAATTTGTAGACTAATTATTTATATACCATCAGTAACAAAAATAAGAACATAAACAGTAAGACAGCATTAAAAATTCTGGATCTTCTATCGTTTTTGGCTACACCATTTTAAAGTACTAGGGTCGGTTTTGGGGCTTCCTAGTTCATTTTCTTTAGTTACAGAAGGATATTTTTAAATGCTTAAAGTCAGAGCTCGTAGTCGATAGGGTTCGATTCGATTCGAATCGACTTCGAGCTCTGCTTAAAGTAAAGTACATCATTTTTCAATCTTAGTGTACAGAGAATGAGTCTTAGGTAGAAATCAAGGTTACCCTAGAAGCTCGGCGCTATAGCAATTTAGGCTATAGCAATTTAAAGGAACCAAGTCTCACAAAGCTAAGGAAGCTAACATAGAAGGGGGAAAGCCTCACAAACTTACATAGCTAGTCACATTTTTGTTCAAAGTTCTAAACAAGCGCTGCATTCCCTCATTCAGAGCTTCTATTTTCTAAAATTGTTCAAAAAAGCATAAACATCGAGAGAAAAAAAACACCCTCCGATACACTTTAAATTATATTTAAAATTAATACGAGTATGAGGTTGAACACGGGGAATAATAAAATTAATTGAATAGAATTTGTGTGTTTTTGTGTATTATAATAAATTTGAACATGCCTTATGCCATGTTATATAAAATATGCCACGAGATAATTGCTTTTTCTAAATGAGAGATAGGAATAAAAAAAATGTTAAATGTTCTAAAATTAATGAGGATTTTTTGTATTTATTTCTTAAGCCTTAAAATCGGATTTTCTAGTATGCATGTGTATGAGAAGGGCCATGCAAAATAAATATTGAAAAACATGATGATGCAAGGCTACAGTCGACATTAAATATTCAAAAATATCTCATGCACGATGCAAAATATTCATGAAAAGGTATTGTGCCGCAAAAACCTACACACAAACACACATACACACTCCTCACAATTTTATGTGCTTCATGTGCAGCAAACGAAGAGAAAACTATCAGTGAAATTTTGTGGACAACACATAGAGAATTTAAATTTTATCGATGGCTTGCAAAATTGCTCGAAAATTTATGTCCAATATTATTTCACCTCAACCTGCAGAATTTATTGAATGAAAATTTTATGGCTGCCTCTTAAAGCTTGCTTTTGTTGTTTGGTAAATTTAAAGTGAGAAGAGATTTTCTACGAAATTAATGCTTTCAAAAAATAGAATAGAACTGGTTATTTTAGGGGTTCGAAGCCCTTTTTCTGGATACGCACATTCAGAGATTGATCAATTTTCAATTTAAAGTGCAACTTAGTCTGTTGCGGGGCCTAGCTTGAGGAGCACAAGTTGGTTAAACGATCAGAAATCCGGCAATATTTGGTATGACTCTGGTACAATCAAGGCTTCGATTTAAGTCCAACAGCATACCAAAGTCACGCCGGCTTTGTGCCGAATCTTGAATGGGCTAAACGACTTGTGCTAGCTTTAGTATCGCTTTCCATTGAAATTTGCGATAGTGACTGTTTGGGCGTCTCATTTATGAATTACCAGAAATTAAGTTCAAGCTAGCTAAAGGATTGATATTAAAAATTCTTTTAGCTCCTTGCTGCATTGATTTGAATAGATTCGATTTTAAACAAGCAAAATACATCCAATTGTCACAGGGTATAAAAAAAGTCATGAAATAGTGGCACCTTGGCAGGTTTATAAATCTACCCGCAGCATCCTAGCAAATTCTTAATATTGAAGTAAATCGAAATCAATTAAGGATGCCCTTGGTAGACCTAGAAACTGACTCCATAATACAGACTGAACAGATTTAACCAAATTCTGCTTAGTAGTATCCTCAAAAGACTGTATTTTAATTGCTCAAAAATCATTCAAGTTAGCAACAGCTTCAGCCAAAATAGTAAAAAAACTTTCATCCAATCTCACTTGTAAATAATTTAAAGTTCAAGTGCTTTTCACAACCTCCGCGATATGAAATTACAAAAGATTAATTCAAATTAAATTAATATCAGGTTGAAGTTTGAGCTTGATGATCTTAAAAATTGTGAAATAAGCACTTTATGGCTTTTCATCAAATTTCTTACAAACAAAAAAAAAATTAAAACAAAAAGTTTTTGAAATTCTTTCGATACTTGATGCTTAAACTTTTCTGCTGTTAATGAAAACCTTCTTGAGTTTCAATAGCAACCAGTAATCAAGGTATTCAATAAAATTCTCAAGTCTTTCCTTTTTGTTCTTTCACGTTTAAAATTTTTTTTTACACAATAAAAATAATAACAATAGAAATTTTCATGCCATGTGACGTGTGCATGAGCTGATGCCATAAAATTTCCACGTGAAATAATTTTCATAAAAAACAATTTTAAAATTCAATATAAATGTATGTAAAAATATATAAATTCAAAAAGAATGGAAATAGGAAATAAAGTAAAGGAATCGTTTTAAAGAATTCTATCAAATTTAGGTATTTGAACATATGAACATACTTACATGAATGCTTGAATGCTGGGTTTAGACACTCTTGGTTTGAGCAACTAAATTCTTGTTTCATAAGAAAATCGACTATTGTCTAGCATGTCATTCATCACTTTAGTTGAAATAGATTAGTGATGTCCAACCATTGTTGTGCTACGGCGTACTTCGCTGATGAACCATGACCAAAAGCACACACGACATACGGTCCGTAGAATTTCCCAACTTTTTGTGTTTCACACTACTGTGCCACGGCTCATCTTTTGCCCATCACTGGAATAGATTATGGTTTAATGAAGAACCCTAGCCAGTAGTAAAAGCTAGTCATCAAGCTTACCAACACCATTCTCACATCAGAGTTCATTCATCCCGAATTCGTGCTGTCTTCAAGCTCTACGACTAGCTTTATTAAACTGCAAAAAAATGAGCAATCCCCAAAAATCAACTCTTCCAAGTATCAAAGCCCAGACGATCACATGCATACTTACAATCCAGCCATACATTCATACATTTTTGCATTCCAGACACAAGAAAAAAAATTTAAGAGCATTAGAAATTTGACGATATCACGTTTAAAGAATATGTTTGAACGTAATTTGCTTCAGAGCAATATGATAGAAAGAATGGATGAATAAAAAAAGAAAGAAGGCAAAGAGAATGAGGAAAATAACAGCATATGGCCGAAATAAATCAATATCGATTTTGAAATGAGCTGAATGGATGTGAAAAGAAGAGGCAGAAAGGCAACAAAGCATCAAGCAGTTAGGAGCATTAGTAGCAATAGGGCTTGATGCATGAAAAGAGGGATCAACGAAAAAAATCCCTAGTGGGAAGTTCGAGGAACTGAAATATGAAATGATTAATTCATATGATTTTGCAAGCACAGCGATGCTTAAAGCTTTCACATCACTGTTTAAAAGCTTTTTTCAATTGCTTCACAACTGCTGCTTGTTCCTATTATACTGTTATTTTTGTGCATAAATCGAGATCACGAACGAATGAAAATTTTCTTCATCTATCTCATTTCTTCTTTACATACGAGAGAGGGTGCTGCTACCTATGGCGAACGAGCTATATTTAAGTGCATGTACATGTGTTGAAAAATATATGGCAGCAGCAATTGCTTAAGAATACCATAACTTCACATCAGACACTATAAATGTATAAATGTCTACCTATAAGTGCACAAGCGATATTTTCGAGTAAACAGCATGATAATAGCAGCATAACAGCAATTTTTATTCCGAAAAAAGTGATTTTTTCTTTTATTTTATTATATGGGGGTTGTTCAAAAATGATGTAGATTTAAGGGGAAAACAACGTGATGGGAAAAAGTTTTGATAATGATTTCCAATAGATTTTGAGGGGGAAAACATTATGATGTAGAAATGTTTTGACAGTAAACTCTCACAAAACTTCATTTAAATTAATCCCCCATCATGTTGTTATCCCCTTGGAAGTTTTACTTCATTTTTCATTTATTGTGCTAAAGTTGAATGTGGAAAATTGTTTATAAGTCGTTAGTAGTTTATCATCAAAACTTTTTCCCATCATGTTGTTATCCCCTTGAAAATTTTACTTTAATTTTCATTTATAGTACTTTATTGGAAATTAAAGTTGTTGGAAATTAAAGATAATTTCTTCCCATCATGTTGTTATCCCCCTTCGAAATTTTATTTCATTTTTCATTTATTGTGCTATATTGGAAGAAAATCTGTAGGAAATCGTTGATAAGTCGTTGAAAATTTATGATCAAATTTTTCCCATCATTTTGTTATCCCCCTGACCCTTTAAACATTAGATTTGCTTTCAATGCTCTGTTATATAGCTTTAATGCAAATTATACGATTTAGGTGTTAAAAATCTCTAGAATCTTAATCATAATAAAAGTGATACGTCATTTGCGTACAACCCCATCAAGGAAATTAAAGGAGATGGAATATGTTATGAGAATCAGGGAATAAAGGGGGATAAAATATAAGAATTTATTATTCAAAATAAAAGTAACGAGAAATCTAATATTATGTGGCATACACGTAACTACATTCACATATATACATCCATTAAGTGCACTAAAACC